CCCCTTTTGAAATCGCCCTTTTTTTTTTTTTGTGGGGGCCAAGTTTTTTCTTTGTTTCTTATCGGGGGGGGGTAACAACAGAAAAAGGGGGGGGGGGGGGGGGGGGGGTAAAACAAACCCCCCGTTTTTTTCGGCATAGGAAAAATGGAGACATGTCGTGTTGCTAGAAAACACCGTCGTCGTCGTGGAGAAGAGAGATGATGCGAAGCAAGATAAGTCGTGCCGCAAAGTTTTTCTTGTGTCGCTTGTTTTATCTTGTTTTTCTTTGGGAAACTTTTTTTATAGGAGAGTCGAGGGTGGAGGGGGACGGAGGGAAGGGGGTCACTCGACTCGTATTATTTGCTGTGCTAGGGGGTTAAAAAGGGGGCTTCTTTCTAGCTTTCTTTGTTATGATACTCTAAATAATTGACTTACCCTCACTTTTTTTTTTTATTCTACTATACGCTTCATACAGTACTCGGTGATGAACCCGCCTATTAGGCCCTCTGCTAAATAGAAATTACAGGGCACTGTGTGGCAATGGACGGATGGTGTGATTGATGGCAATGGACGGATGGTGTGATTGATTGCGTCGCTCGATCCCCTTTTGCCCGTCAACCGACAGAGAGTCACCACCCTCTATCATATCACTGTGCCATGCACGAGAATTATCCGTGCACAAAGTACGAAGCGTGCGTAGTGTGCAGGGCACTAGTAGGAAGCCTAACTTACAGCAGACTTGCGCATGATCTTCGTGGTCGGTGGAAGCGCGGCAAGGCGTGCACCAAAGCAGTGATAGCACAACAGCAATCATCCTTTCCGTGTGCCCTCCACCCAACACACACTTAGATACAATACCATTCACGACATACAGGCAGCACGCATTTGCTTCTTGCAGAATGATGAGCGAGCGTTGTCATCGAAGGGACATGAAGGTATTCAGCCAGAGACAGCCCGTTACATTGCACAAAACAAACACGAGTCTACATCACTAGCAAGAGACACACAACACACACATAGTAACGCTACCATTTTCACACCCCAGACGTTGGCACCGAATACATCAACACGTCGACACGCGCTTTCTTAACTCCGCATGGAGCCACAAACATCAGTCCCCCAACATCCCCCTCAGACTCTTGAACAAACAACAAACTTGATCGTTACAAGTACCTGATCTCTTGTTATTCCCTCGTTTTTCGAGCCGAAGCACCCTCTCACTCGTATGTCCCTAGACTACCTCTACAGTACATTGAATACACACAACGCGGCATTCGTCTACAACACACAGCAGCAGTCAAAGTGGTATGCATACACCGATCGCTACACCGCTACACCACCCCGGTTCGGCGGACCCTGCCCGCATCTAGCTAAGTCCCGCTCGGTGATCTCGTCCCTTTCTCTTGCTCTTCTTGATGAGGCTACCACCATCCGCCGCAGCGCCCCTTCGGGCGACGCCACCTTTCGAAACCCCTCCATTTTTTCCCGCAGCGAAGAAGACGAAAAGCGCGTGCGGTCGAACGCTTCCAGCGTTGCCCTAACATAACATGATTGAAAAAAAAAGGGGCGTAAGGGGTAAAGGGTACGAGTACCAACCGAAAGGGGTAGCAGCAGTAACAACGAAGAAGATAAAGATTTCAAGCGAAAAAAACGAAATAAAGTGGGTGATCTGATCTGATGGATGTCTCTTGGTCTTCTTGTTCTTGTTGGAACCGCCACCTCGGACATAGAAGGAGTGTTGCAATAGGCTCTATATAATAGTATACGTACATGTTATCGCTACACTTGGCATAGGAAGCGCAGCTCCGTACCGCGGATCTTGTGCGAAACGAGGCAAAGAATCAACACAGAAGTAGGGCGGGGAACAGCCGGGCCAGGTCGCGAACAATTCTCTGGGGGGGGGGTGTACTCATAGTCGTGCATGCCGTAGTCGTTAGACCATTGACCTGGCATCCCTACAAAGCCGGGACGGAGAACGCCGGGTTCTCACCGGGCCAGGCTCTCACATCACCAAGCACGAAGCACCGTGAGGTATTTGGCGAGTCGCATGGAAGGTGCGCTGCATCCTGCTACGGGTGTTTGACATCTTGTGCTTACTCCCTTGCGTACGGATGACAGCTGCGTATGTCTTAATTTATATTCTGGTGTTTTCACTTCGACAGACAGTTATCAGCACTGTGTAACTGCCTCGAGGGTGCTTTACCAATTTAACACAACGTGGTGCGATCATCCCCTTTGCGCGGAGTGAGGGTTCTCTACCCCGCACAACATAATCTACTCGACCACCATCGTGGTTACCGCAAAAAAAAAAACAGAGGCAAAAAAAAAAAGAAGCGGTAACCTGGTTGCCGAGCTCACGAATGATCGGCTTGAAATTACAACGTCGTTGCCACGCGACGAAAAC